CAAAAAAGTCAGAATTTCTAGAGATCACCAAGGGAGAAGGTAAAACTTCTCACGCACTTCAGCAACTGTGGAAGGGATAGAAGATTCAAGGATGCATTTAACCCAGCCAATATCTGCTTGTTAACAGCAGAACAGTTTCCTCTCCTGAATTTCCTCTTTAACTAAGGATAACAGAGATCCATCCCAAAGCACAAGGGCTACAATTAAACCCAACAAGAGTTTATGCCTTAACAAGCCATGTGAACATTGCCAGGATAGAGGCTGGGATTGGGCTGAGAAAAGAGATCGACTGTGCAGACTTGGGTAGGGAGAATCTCTTCAGCTTCAATCAACTCATTTTATTTGCACACATTTTGGTAAATTTCTAGCTGGCTTGATGTTCATGTCATCACTAGTGAAATCTACCCTACCTGAAATTCAATCAAAGACAGCTATGTAATATTATCCTTATCTTGTTTTTTTTTGGTCCTGGCACTGAAATAGAAAACAAGAGTGGTTCTTGAAAAGGTCCTTCTTGCCACTCTGGCTGTGGTTGATGTTGGAATTAAGAGGGGAAACAAAGCAAAGCTAAACAAACAAACAGTAAAAGGTTTGTATCCTAAAAACACACCCCTGTCTAACAGCAGGAGACAAGTGAACCACTATGCACCCCATTTGGAATGAAGTGCCTATGCAGGGACACAACAATTTCTGAAGCCAGAATAAACATGTGAGTGAAAACCCTTATGTTTCTCTTCAGTGAAACAGAGGCTTTGATATTGGTACCAGTTACATCATTAAAACGTGTGTGAGACAGGCAGCAAGCAGCCTTTCATGCATTCAGGAGCTCAAGGTGTCAGTACCTGAGGGCACCACCAGCCCCTGGTGACAGGGACAGCTCTCCAGTGCACCCTCCACGCACTCCCCCTGTGCACCCCAATTCGAGGCTGGGCTGGCCCCCTGCTCTCTGCCTGAACTTTGCTGCAGGTTTATCTGTCTGCAGCCCTGCCTCTGCCTTCATCCCCTGGATTGACTTAGGCTGTAGGAAGCTCTTCTTCTGGAAAGATCCCTCATGTAGATGGTGTAGCTTGTACCCAGTTCTGTCTTTGGCCTTATCTCCTGGGTGGCCTTTGGACCCACACTGCTGCTTTGTCTCCAGCCCTGCCTTAAACTCCTGGATGGAACCTCACAGCTCCATCTTGCCTGGGAGTGTACACAAACCGTGTCACCAGGATCCAGCTCTGCCTGCCATGCTCAGACCCTGTGAACTGTGCCCATCAGTGCTGGCACTCTGCACTGGGTCACCCTTGCCTTCTGGCTTGCCTCAGCTCCCAGCTCTTGCCGTACCCTCACAACAGGCTGGTGCACAGTGGTTGCAGGAACAGATTTAAAAAATCAGTGGAAACACTATTCATCTCTTGTAACTGTCAACTGTACAGGTCTTTTCTGGGAAGCCCTCCAAGTTGTCCATAATCAAAACCTAAGTTGATTTCTGAAGCCTTTAAGCATGGCCTTCAGACAGACCTTGGCAGTTTGGTGTGGGCCTTGGATCAACAACTTTAATACCAGACACAGGAAATACAATCTGAGAGACTAACAGAGTTTTGTAATATATTAAGCACATGAATCATTTTGTGGAAGGTGAAAGAAAGGAAGAATATGCGTCTGCATTGATAGAAGAAAACCTAACCATAATGTGCTGCTTTTCATCTTCCATGTTAAGGGAGAGGAAAAGCTCTTCATGTATTGAACACTGTATTGAGCATTCCCCAACCATGTTATTCATTTAAAATGCATGATGAATAGGGTGAAAAGGGTCAGAGTAAAGCCATTCAATTGACAAACAGATGATACATCCAGAAGGGAGGAACATGCCCCCACAAAGCACCCTAAGTCATGCCCTTCTGCTTTGTAATTAATTTTTTTGTCTTTGTTCAGCTGTGCTCACATTTCTTATCTCACAGATCTCCAAAGCCCACTTGGGGACAAAGTATGCTTATTTGGAGGAAAGGATACTGAGGTCAGTGGGTGTTGCTATGCAGGTTATTGGTCTTACATGCTCTTTACACTTCATAGTGCCTACAATTTCAGATGGTTAATTCAATTTGGTATTCATCTTTAATACTCTACAGGCTCATCTTCAGCAACAGCCAATCCTTAAAAATGACGTAAATTGTAACTGGCAAAAATCCACCATGAATGTGCCAGTTCTCAAACTTCAGACCAATAAGCTAATTAAAATGCTTAAAACCAAATCCTATCCAAGCACTAGAATTCATCCACATTGCAAAAATGTGGCACAATGTCATGAAGACATAGAATTTAAATACACCAGCACACCTCTGCAGATGTTTTGATGACAGGACCTCATTAATAATATTAGGTCAATTTCACAAGTTTCAGAGGAATTGGTTTACTGTAACCTGCTCCAGACATGGAGATGAAGAACTGCAAAGGAATACCTGGCAGACAAATCCTTACTAGAACCAACTAACAAAACAGACACAGTTAAGAACCAGAAAAAGTTAAAAGAGAATAGAAGAGAAAAGAAGTTATTTGCCCCTCTATTTCTGCTAAAACTGAACAGAGTTGAGATATCTCAAAAGAAAATAAAGATTTTTTTAAAAATAAGCTACAAGCATTTTGGGACTCACTTTCTGTAATTTAACTGTGGGATATTGCTGGCATAGGCAGGAAACATTAAGATATTAGTCTTAAGCAATAAGTCAGTATTGCTAAGGATGAACTAATCGTGTATTAGCACAAAGAAAGCCTAAATTCCACTGTTACATTAACAATAACTTAAATTTTCCAATAACTGCTTTCATGTAGAGTGAAATGAATTCTGCATGGACTACCTGTCTGTATATTCTAACTGCATGGTCCCCTTTCCATCTCCTATAATTTCTACATTTTTGCTGTCTTTCCCCATTTACTACCCTTTGTGTCAATGAAATCAGTGGTGCAGTAGCAATTTACTGTGGCTGTACTTGAAGTCAAACATTGCTCTCCCTTTGCTCCTCTAGCCATGATGTCACATGTACATTGACACTAGTAGATTGCATGAAGCATTCCACTAATATTTTGAGTCTTTCACTTATTATAAATATTTATCAATTTCACAATTGAAAATTACACCAAATGTCTCTGGAAGTACACCATTGTTCAAGCTGAATAGAATGCTAATGTGGTCACCACACTCATTTTACTCCATCTCAAATTTTTGTGTAATTTATTCTTTTTAAAATCTTGAGTTTGCAGAATTAGCTGCAGCTTCTTCTACCACTTCACTCTTCACAAGAATGTACTGCATGTATAAAAACATGTATCACAAATTTCAAGTTATTTTTGTTCCTTTACTAGTCTCTCTGCAAATGTCACCTGATAAAAAGTTTACAGGAGAGAAGATTTAGAATTCCAATCACACTAGACTGAGCTATGATAACAGGGCCACATCAGCTTCATAGGTCATACCTCTCTTCCAAAATCCTTTTATCTAATCAGGGCCGAAGGACTCTTGTCTACGTGTCTCTAGAAAACTCAGGGTTAGGGTTGTGAAAAAGCATAAAGCTACAGCGTGAGTGTCTGCCAAAAGAAAGTGTGAGCTGCGTGGAAATTAGCCCTAGAAGAAATCTTTCATTTTGGCAACAGTATCAGAGCCTTTGCAGGAAAATTAGGGTAAAGTTCAGCTCCTGGTTGACAAACAAAGGAATTTAGAATTGTAACGTGTGTAGGGCTCAAAGCGCCCAAAGTCCTTGTTTCAGCATTTCCACCTTTCCTCACCACCTCAGCTACTGTACACTGGAACCCAGCACTAAGCACCAGCTCCTGCAATCTCCTTTCTATAAACCCAGGCTACTTGCCCAAGTCAGGAGCTGTTCCATCCTCCCTTCTCCGCCTCCTCATTTTCAGCACAGTTGAAGCTCTAGTGGTCTACTAACACAAAGCAATCTGAGAAAGCCACACAGCACTCTTTAAGGCATGAAAAAGTATTTCAACTAGATTTTTCAGCACATACAGAACTAAATAATCTCTGTTCTTTCCAAGAAAAAATTCTAAGATCCTTTCACTAGACCACAGCATCCCTCTTTCAACTGCACTGATTGTACGAACTTCCACTCCTAAGACAGGATTAACACTTTTGTAAGTATACTAGCATCTGAAAATTATAAATATCACAGGAGGCTGAATCTCTGCAAGTCTTCCATCAGATATCTTGGCAGAATGGTGGTTTGGGTTTTTGGGGGTTTTTTTGCTACATTAGAGTGCAGTAATCAAACATAGGTACTAAATAAACACCACAAGAATAACCTTCCCTCACTATTCAACCAGACAGAAATGAGGGGGAAAAAAAGTAGGACTCCTTTCCTTCAGCACAGAATTTTGACCAATCCAGTATTTCTATTTTTAATTTTTAATTACATTTATGATATTTCCTGTGGGTATAAGTCATGAATGCAGTTCCAGTATGCTGGGAGCAACGTAAATAGTTATTCTCAAAGGGATCTTGCAGCTGTTATGCACAGGTCAGAGATTCTGTGAAATGCTAAATCTGAAACTTTAAAAGCTTTTTAGCCCACATCCTTCCCATTTCTTTTCAAAGACAGAGTTAATGGATAATGAACAATATTGCCCTAAATTTGGCCCAGAAGGTATAGAAGTAGTAACTCCATCTAAATAAAGTAATATTTAGCAGTAAGCAACCACTCAGTCCTTTCACAGTATTTCAGTCACAGAACTGCATCAGAAATTCCTTTCTGATCTAAATTAACTCATCTGCCACTTTATGCTGACAACCCTACAGCTGAAGTCTGGAGACATGAAATTGTTTCCTCTGCAACTCTTTATAGAGGGATGAAGGAGGAGTGCAACTTCACACTGCAGTAAAGAAGTCTAGCCTCCTCCTCCACCTAACACGGTGCCTCTTTTCTGACATGAGACTGCTCAGAAGGACTTGAGGTCTTCCCCTCACCAAATCTCGATATGTCAGTCCATAAAAATGCAAAAGATTGTGCACCTACCTTTGATCACAGTCCGGTGAAGGAAAATACTCATCGGTTGCTTCACTCAGGAACAAGGTTCTGTTTTAAAATAAACAAAGAAGAGACAAAACAAGACTTAAAAGAATGTTTCCCTCTCTCTCTCCCCTAACGTTAGCCTTCAGCAGTGTTGGTAAACATTTACCTAGCAGGAGCACCTTCGCTCTGCAGAGCCAAGGTAATGATTACATTACACTGAACAGGACAGGAGGACAGACTGAGGCCATCACAGCCGTGGTGGCAATGACTAGACACGGCTGCACGGCAGCCAGCTCCACTGTCCAAGAGTGAGAAAGAGTGGGGCAAGATGAGAAATGATAAATGCAGGGGGGAAAAATGTTCTCCAAATCAACAAACCAGGAACTTGGATTTAAAACCACAGAGGAAAAAGAAAGTTCACAGAGCAAGCAAATTCAGTATGAGCTGAGAGAACTGGAAATGTCAGAACAATCCGAATGGGATTTCTCACACCTGTTCATTAATAATCGTTGTCTTTGAAACAACCAACAAAGCAAACTATAAGATGTTACCTTCTTTTGTCTTGGCCACAGCTAAATCATTTCAGTAGAACTTCAACGGTGTCACAAAGTCTGTGTAGTCTATTCCCCAAAGCCTTTACAATTAAGTATGCTGTGAAACAAAAACAAACCACCCCCAAGGAGGGAGTCACACCCTCCTCCACGCCCCTGCCTGGCTGGCGATCACAAGGATGGAAGTGCTTTGTGAAGCCAACTGGAGCCCAGGAAACGAGTGTGTGTACACACACTGAGACAGGCACACAGAGCTCACCTGGGAGGGCATCTCAAGAGTCACCAACACCCCGAGGGAGGGAGGGCACACACTAGACTGCTATAATTTTACTGTACCTGTTGGACAGCCTCTGAAGTCAGCTCTTTCACAGCAGTTGTGCCACAGATATGCATGTGCCTCTGTAGCCTTCCAGTTCACACAGACCCTGGTCCAGAAAAAATTCTGACCTTTGAGTTTCCAATAATCTTTAATACCTCTACAGCCAATTACTAAACAAGAACCACACTTGCTCTGCCTGTAAATATAATGAAGTACACCCAGCTCTCTGCTTTCCTCACATAATTACATGTGCAAAAGTTTCTCCTTTTTCCTGGTTAGATAAAGAGCAGTTTAGTAAAAAAAGGACCTATCCTTCTGCAGGACACAATTTTCCTCTTTTCTTTTGATCCATGATTCTTATCTTCCTTCACTAAATAGTTTGAGGAGGCAGAATAAGAAGCCCTGCATGCCTGGCCTCAGCAGATCCCAAAGCACCAAGGTAAACATCAGAACAGCCAGATGCAAGCACAAAACAGCTAAACTACAGAAGATGTGAATGTTTGATTTCGCTGTAAAAAGAATAGACAACTAAAGAAATGGGGTTTTTCACAGAACAATCCAGTGAGAGTCACTGAGGAAAACAGTCCAATTAGGAAGTTAATTATTAGCAGAATTTATAAAATTCTAGCCTCATGGTAGTCGGTAAGACCCGCACAAGCAGATACAACAACATACAACTACTAGCATTTAATAAAGGTTTTCCATAGGGGTTGGCTCTCCATTTCACTGCAAAAATACCTTGCACTCCCTGATGTAAACTACTATCAAAGTGCTTATTTGGAACAAGATAGAGTATCACTCTGATCTAGCTGGTTTTACTTTCCAGAATACAGAAAACTTGAAAAAACCCAAAAAGGTCTAACAGACAGCAAATGCAGGGGAGACAGAGAGGAACAAAAGTTTCAAATAATTTTGTCTTCAGCTTTTAAAAATGCAATTTACTCCTACTTACAAAAACTCAGAAAACTGTTACAGCAATGAGGTAAAGAAACTGCTCTTTGTAATGCCACAGTTTGCCACTAAGGCATGTCGAAACAGACACAAACAAAAATGCAACAGAAGCTGGTAACAAAGGGGCAGAATTTAATGCCAGCTGAAGGGGGTAACGGGAATTTAAACCGAATGCAATAATTGGTAAGTTGCCAGTGATTAAACACAAAGAACAGAGCAATATTATCAAACAGACAGAAAAATCTATCAGCAGAACGAGACTGGAACTGGCCAAATAAGATTTCACAACAAGATTTATTTTACAGGACCTCAAATTAAAGGAGTGGTTTAAAGCAACACGAAAGGGATGACACTGTTGTCATTTCCACAGAAAGGCAAGTGAGGTGGCAAAACACTTACCTAACAATTTCCCATTTCCCTCCTCCATACATGCTCTTGTGCCTATGTCTTCCCTGAGAAGCAAACAGATTTGTATGTTTGCAAAGCCCTCAGCATGGAGTGTATTACCAGCTCCCAAATGCTTAACACAAGAGGCAACCCCACATTTCATCTCTAGGCATCAAAGCATTTACTAATGGAAACGAAACTCTGCCTAGCACACAATTAAGTGATTTTGGAAGGATGTCATTAACTCCAGAAGCATCATATCTTTTCCCATGTTTGTATTTACTTGCAAATTTACCAGCCATAACAGTGGAGTGGGAAAGCTCAGGAACTCGTGTCCCAGCCAGGCAAGCTCCTGCAGGAGCTCCTGTTAGTCAGGGTGTGCACTGTACAGAGACTCAATAACCAGTGACATTTGTATTCCTGGCAGTTTTATTTCTTCAAACAGCAGTCACACTGGAAGTTTCACTTTACTTTTTACTCCAGAATAAAGGCCAAATCTCAGACAAACGCTGTCTGGAAATCCCAGGACACATATGAGAGCATGTGTGTGGTCCCCTTCACCATTACAAGATAAAACAGCTTTCAGGAAAATCAGAAGGGTGCTTGGTATTTTTAAGCATAAAAACCTTAATATTTACACTAATCAAATACAACAGGGTCCTCTTAGTCAGAACAGTATTCACACAGGAGCCCAACCAGGCAGAACTACTTTCCCATGAAGATCTTATCCTCAGTCTGGGCAAACAATCCAAGTCACACTAGACAGACAACAGTTTTACCCTGTATGTCTCTTTAGTAATTACACCAAAGAAACACGACCGTCCTTAGATTAAAAATATTAATAATTTTAAAAGCCAAAATCAGAAGCACTGTGAAAATATATAATGATAAAGCATACACGGGGAAAAGAGAACATAGCTTGATACAGTTAAAATGTGCAAATACTTACAGAAATATGAGAATAGAAAGAAATATAGAAATATAGAGAGTAGGAAACAGAATACAAAGCCCTGCTTACGAAATGGTAGAAATTTTAGTTAATTTCTAAAAAAAAATAGATTTCAGAATAAAAACCACAGCCACCTGAGGTCGGCATTTCTTCAACAAATACTTTATGAGAATTGTGCAGCTTTACAGTCCAAAGCTGCACAAAAATGAGCAAAGACAGGGTCAGCTTTCTAGTGGATATAGGAAGTAAGTGTGGAAGGACTGCAGCAATCAAACTGGAAAAAAGGAAAAGATACATAGAGAAGGAGAAGAAGAAAGACAAAGCTATCTGGGAATGAGTGAAACCAAGGAACAATTATCAGAAAACGTTACTGTCAGAAACTGCAAATGCTCAAGGAAAAGAACCATGCAGAAAACTGCATTCACTGCCAGAATCTCCAAACAAGTGAAAGAAATGGAAACTAGGCAGCAAGGATATACTTGAAATAGTTAATTAAGGCCACTGGACATGAAAACACATTTACCTTAACATATTTATTTGAGACTACACTTGAAATACTGCATCCAGCTCTGGAATACCCAGCACAGGAAGGACATTGACCTGTTGGAGCAAGTCCAAAAGGTGGAGGACCACCAAGATGATTAGAGGGACAGAGCAGTTTGCTGTGAGGAAAAACTAAGAGAATTGGGATTGTTCAGCCTGGAAAAGAGAAGGCTTTGGGGTGAGCTAATTGTGGCCTTCCAGTACCTGAAGGAAGTCTGTAAGAAACATAGAGAGAGACTACTTACAAGGGCATGTAGTGACAAGACAAGAGGAAATGGCTTCAAACTGAGGGTAGGTTTAGATTAGACAGTAGGAAGAAATTCTTTACTGTTAGAGTGGTGAGGCACTGGAACAGATTGCTCAGAGAAGCTGGGGATGTCCCATCCTTGGAAGTGTTCAAGGCCAGGTTGGATGGGGCCCTGAGAAACCTGGTCTAGCGGAAGGTGTCCCTGTCCATGGCAGAGGGGTTGGAATGAGATGATCTTTGAGATCTCTTCCATTCTGTGATTCCATGATAGTTCCTTTATTACTCATTCACATACATCCAGCAGAATTGGTTTAGGAAGGGAAATGCTTTGAGACAAATTGAAGCTCTCAAGTGAACTTGTATTACTCATAAGAAAAAGCAGTCTAATTTTCAAAGTTCTAGACCTGATGTCTTAAATTCCTCCTCTCTCTCCTGTATGAGGGGTTGTCTTTAATATAATTTACCAGTAAATTTTTCACAACAGAAAAAAAGGCAGAACCATCTGATGAAGGAGAAGCATCAAGGTCACAGCACCCAGCCTGCCAGAGTTCAAGAAATCTCTGGCTCACATTCTCAGGCCCCATGATGTGATTGTCGGGGCTCTCCTGTGCAGGGCCAAGAGTTGGACTTTGATTACACTTGTGGGTCCTTTCCAACTCAGAATATTTTAAGGTTTTATGAACACTTTGATAATGTAAAGCAAATGGCTTAGTACAGTTCATCATTCATCTCATGCCCTACCTCAGATCTTGCATGTCCTTATGGGGCATTGCCTTGCCTGTACACAAGGAGAGGATTCCTCCCCATAAGCCAATTCATGGCATGAAGGGCAGGTGGCCCAGGCCCTGTCTGCCATCAGCATGACTGTGCTTGCTTGCAACTGTGCTGCTCTGAAATGCCCATGACCCTGACTGCCTCAGCAGTCTGATTTTCAGAAAGGCCAATGCAGGCAGTGGAGTGTTAAAAGAGTGATGCTGTCTGTGCCTCTGCCCTTTTCTCTCCTGCTATCAGCTTAGCTGTATGCCTCCAGACAAGCAAAAAAAGCAAACCAATTGCAATCAAGGTCAATGAGGAAAAAGCTATCAGTAGCCTTCTTCCCAGTGCTGCAACCTAGCAGCTAAAATCATGCCACCGTTGTGAGAAGAAATGTGTAAAGAAAGGGGGAATGACCACAATATTATGAAAAGATCTCTCCTAGTACTCGTTTGTTTTTGCTCTCATCAGGTGGTAGGAAGGAAGCAGCCTTCTCAGCTGATTAAGCTCCATTGCTACTATTCTCTCTTCCTCTCCACTCCCACCCTTTGTTTGTGACTGCTCCTTAAAGAGCAAAGAAGAGTCTTGAAGAAGGAATAACTATGACTTATGTATTAGATAGATGAATCTTGAGTGACTGTCAATTTCTGTCCTGCCACAGATCCACTGCCTCCTGGCAGCAGTGCTGTAATTAAGTTGATAGCATTGAGTATTCTCTGAATTACTGGGTTAAACTAGTAGAGCACTGCATTTAAACCAGTCACCCCATTCAGATAATTTAAACAATTCTGCTAATGGCTTGTTTAGGATAATCCTCCTCAAAGCATTCCAAATTAAGAGCACCCGAAGGAACTAAAAACGCCTAGTTTGGTACTCATCTTTCCCTGGTCCTAATAAACCATGGCTCACACAGTCAAAGCAATGCCTTATCCCTCTGCACCTGTCACAAAGCCATTGCTATCTTAAGAAAAATAGCATTAAAAAAAAGCAGCAAACAAATAATCAGATTCATGAAAGGCAATCGTGTTACATTTGCAGACAGCCTGAAAACGCCTGGGTGCCCAAATCCCACAGGAATGAACTTAATGTCAACCAAAAGCTAGTAAAGCTTTTCTGCCTAAATGGTGACCCCCAGTGAAGAAAGGAGAATTTGAAGAGGAAGAGGATAATTCACTTGTTGCATTTTATTCTTCCATTAATAAAGAAAACTAAGTCAGAAGCTTGCCGACTTTATGTTTTTCCTTTATCGCTGTCAATATTTGATCTGGACAGTGTTGCCTCTTCAGGCTCCTTATGGTTACTTTTATCTCTGTCTTTTAACATAAATGACATTGCAGAGCAGATTCCTCCAATATCTCAGATGCTGTTGGGAAAAAAGTATAAACAGCTCCTCACTTAACCTCACCCATGGGCCTATAAAGACATGAATCTGCAATTTTAAATTACGACACACACACACTAAGGAATTAATTAAAACTAGAATTAACATTGTTCATTTTTATAAAGGAGGAAATCAATAAAGCCAAAAATCTATACACAAATCTAACATATAAAACACATTTGATATGATGGTAAAGACACGCTGCAATAAAGAAAATGGAATTTTGCCCATAATTCAATTTAAATCTGCTGTTCAAGCAACTTTCTTCATATGCACTTTGAAATTCATAGCAGTAACCTCCAAGATGCCCAAAAAGTGGCTGTACCACAGCCGGCTGTACAGACAAGAATGTATAATGAAAAGACATACTCAATCCAATAAACCAAGTAAAAAATTACAGGTAATTTTCCTGGATACAAACAGAGAGCTGAATGAAATCCAAATCTGGAAGAAGAGGTATATCTTGAAGCCAAATTGAGCAAGACTTGTTGCAGATTGCCTGTATCTGCACCTGTTTTATTTCTGTAGATGGAACAGGGAAAATAGGCTTAAAAAAAATCATGGTTTTAGGGGAATGAAGGGGAAGAAGAAATCAAAACTTCCTACCCAATTACTTTTTACATGCTTGCTTAATATTCAGCCCCAAATTCAGCTTAGCCAATCTCAGAAACAGACGTATCTTCAGGATTTTCCTCACACTTCAGGTATGATACCCTTCTTTCTCTTTCCACAGAGTCTTCACAAGCTCTGCTCCTCACTGCTATTGCTTTCCAAAATGCCCAAATACCTGATTGCTGAGGATAAAGACTGCAGGTGCAGTCAGCTGATGAGGAATATACAAATGTTGAACAGACTGTTCCCTCCTCCCTTGGGGCTCCCAATGATCACTGAAGTTGACTCTATAAAGGCTCAAACCATCACCAAACCTTCCCACAAATGGAAATAGGTACCTGATCCACTCAGAGAAGTCTCCACTATCGTATATGCTTGTTTGTAAGTATATTTAAATGCACTATTTTACTCTATTATCCCTCTTCCTTTATGCTTTTTGTCATGCAGGAGTAAAACAATCTGCTGCACAAACCTATTTGGAAAGACTACAAATCATGCAGTTGCTTGATCCTATTGAACATTATGCCCAGAAAAAAAAATCTTTGCATAAATCAGTAATTTTCTTTCTCTTTATTTGCAATGAGACAATAATACAGATTATGGCTACTGAGAGAGCAGTGCCAGAACAATTTGAGGAGAGCAGTATCAATTCTTTCAATACTAAAGGTGCAAGGACTTGGCTGCATACTTTCACTTGATCTTTTGAAGTCAACAATCTAACAGTGGTTGAATTGTAAGGAAGAATGGCATCTGAAAAAAGGTACACATGGTCAACCAATCTGAGTTCAAGGAACACCATAAATGCTTTGAGATTAGCAGTCAGAAAAGCCTGCACATTCTCTAGGACACTGGGTTATGATCAGGGAGAAGTGTCAGCACTTACAGATTGACTCATGGAAGCACGACTAAAGCAGCTCTGTGTGGCATTGTTTGAGAACCACTGACCCAGAAAGGCACTAAAGTAAAGCTGTACATAACACTCCCAATGCAGGCAGCACTCAGCTCTGTGCTCTTCTGCTGCAAGGGAAACACTGCATGAAGCTCCACAATTTCATAGTTCACATAAACAGCTAAAGGAGCTTTTGTGCTGCTCACCTTCTTAATTTCCTTGCATATCTCAAGTTAAAAGCTCTCTGCTGCCATGCTTCTTTCTCTTCCCCTGTCTTATTCTATCCTTTCACAGTAATTCTGAGTCAATCAGAATAAATTCCCAGTGTTTTCACGCAAACATCTGACTTTCCTGGCTTCATGGGAATCTCAGCAAAGGTCCCCCTCCCACTGCTCTCATCCCAAGACATGGAGGCATGCACAACTTTCCCTGAGCATCATTTCGGAATAAGGCCACGCTTGTGTTCTTAAGAGAGGCATCCAGCCAGCTGGAGGCTTCTTTATGGCTTCACTAAGTGAAAAGCCTTTTAGACTTGTACACTGAGCCAAAACCTTGACCTACCATGCCCTTGTGGGGCCAACAACAATCTTCCACTTCTTGAGAGGGAAAGTACATGAACTGTCAGTTTGACAATGCACTCAGGCACACGGTGGGATTCTTGGGATGTCCTGCACAGACAGGAGTTGGACTCGTTGGTCCTCATGGGTCCCCTCCAAGTCAGCATGTTCTGCTATTTTATGGTTCTATGAGTCTATGAAAAAATCATGTGACACGGCAAGTGAGTATTATCACTGTATGATACTATCAGTGTTTCAGTAGATAAAACACAGAAAGGTCCCACATGCAGGGCAAATATTTTTTAAGACTTTGAATCAACTCTGCTCCATTTTAAGACAGTTAGAAAAAAAAATTCAAAAGCAAAAGATTTGGTTTGAGTTTCAGAACACATTCAAATGTCAGTGTGAGAATCTGATCAAATGCTTGTCAGAACCATCAGAAGTATTTCCACTGAATTGAAAAAGCATGGGGTCAGGATCTAAATTTATGTTATGTCAGTATGTATACATACATTTACAGACATAAACACCATGCTGGTACACTACTATCATAATTTTTTTGCATGTAATTGTCTAAGCATTACACGTGACTCACAGCAAAGGGCTGGGTTTTTTAATAATATTAAAGAATTCTTTCTCCTTTTGGGACGCAGTCATAACCCATTCTTATCTCTGTAATAACATAGATTTTCATCTCACTAATCTTCTTCCATCTGCAATACAAAAAAAAAATTTGCAAAGT